GGGGGGAGAGACTGAAGGGGGGAGAGTGTGAAGGGGGGAGGGAGTGGAGGGGAGTGGGAGTGGTGAAGAGAGGAGGTAGTGATGGGGGGAGAGAGTGCAGGGGAAGGGTGATGCTGCTGGGCCCTCGTCGCCGTTCAGCGCTGGCGGGCGCTCGTCGTTTTTCGTGGGCGTATCGTTTTTCGGGTGTGGTGGGGGCGGCGTTTTCGTCGGCGCTCGTTCGTCGTCGTCGTCGCGTGTCGTTGTCGTTGTCGTGTGTCGTCGTCCCGGCGTGTAGTCGTCGTCGTCGTCGTCATGGGCGGTGCCTGGTTTTCGTGTGACGTGGCAGCAGGCGGTGGTGGCCGGTGGCCGTTTTCCGTGGGCGCTCGTTCGTGTATGTCGTGTGGTCGGCTTCGCGTGTTGTCGTCATCGTGCTTGCGTGTCGTCGTGCTCGCGTTTCGTCGTCGTCGTCGCGTTTCGTCGTCGTCGCATTTCGTCGTCGTCGCATTTCGTCGTGCTCGCGTGTCGTCGTCGTGCTCATGTGTCGTCGTTGTCGCCGTCCTCATGTGTTGGTGTCGTCGTCCTCATGTGCCGTGCATGGGTGGTTGCTGGCGTCGTGCCTGTCGTGGTGAGAACGAAGGAATGCGGTGGTGGGGCATACGTACCCCTTGCCCATGACGTTGCCACGTCATGGGCGTTGTCCCTCGTCCTTGGTCCATCGTTCCGCGCTGGGGGTGTCGTTGTCGTTAGCGTGGGCGTCGTGTGCGTCGTTAGCATGGGCGTGGGCGTGGGCGTCGTGGGCGTCGTCGGCGGTGTTGAGATGTGAATGGTGGTGGTGGAAGGGAAAGGGATGGTCACGGCAGTGTGACCATCCCACAAACAGGCGACGTGACGATATGGCACGCCCTCAAGTAAGTCACGTGACCTCACCCCGCAGACTGAACAAAATCATAAATCCTTATTGCAGCTATCACTGACCCACACTATATGTAAATTATAACATTTCCATTCATTGATCAATTAGTCTATTTTCGCTTTTTTAGTAGTATTCATATATAATAATAATAATATGCTGGAATGACTGGAATCCACTGGAATCCACTGGACTCCACTGGACTCTGACTGGACTCATAGTCCACTGGACTGGGACTGGACTCAGGAAAGTGGCTGGCAGTCCAGTGGGAGTCCAGTGGACTGGACTGGACTGGACTGGACTGGACTCCAGTGGACTGGGCATTCTGCCAGCCAATCTGGCCTGGTAAGAGGGCCACTGGAATCCACTGGAATCCACTGGAGTCCACTGGAGTCCACTGGAGTCCATATGGATTATGTGGGGGAGGGTAAAGACCTCCATTCACGAGACACGTTAGCAGTCTCTCAAAAAATATAGTTTATCGTTGACGTCCTTGAGACTCCTAGTCAGCTGCAACATATACAACTGTTTATATATATATCAGAGCGGAATAATTGAGTAGCTAATCTGCATCTTGTCTTACCCTCACTAGCAAGACATACCTTGTAGTACTACTTTCAAAGCATTGAACGAGGAAGAACTAAAGCTACGATGAAATGGCGCATGGCTATCAAATGGCTATGAAAAAGGCTAGCCAACTAGGCGGCACTCGCGGGCTCTTGACCGGCACGTTCCACGTTGGGCAAGTTGGTCGGGTCTCTTGAGTCTTCGCCAGAGTCGATTTGGTCTATGCGCATTCAAGTCTCGAGAGATGCTTATACTAGAGCTTTTGGAAGTACAACTGTCCAAAGTTAGTGTCAACGAATCCTATCTGGTCCAGCTATATCGACACGAGACCAAGTTGGGGAAGTAGGAGTCTGAACCATCAACTTCTAAGTTCTGGGGAGCTAATGTCGCGCATCTTGTACCCCTAATTACCAGCTAATTTTTAGTGTGGCTCGGGGAAGCGGAGCGACTGGGAAGGCACAGGTGAAGCGAAGAGCCCCTAAGTACTGTGTTTGTGTTGGAATATTCGGGAGCTGTGCGAGCATCCGCAATGCGCCCGATCTACCGATATCAGGTACATTCCTACCTCGATTGTTTCTATACATCTTTCAGGGTGTTTTGTCCTTATCCCCTTTTATTTCGTAGTCTACAGGATATATACGAGTACTGGCTGCGGTTAATTCGATGTTAGTACCTAAAATCATATCGGGAGTGTAGTAACGCGACTCACATAAACTTCAAATAGACGATCACAGAAATTTTCGAAGACACAATTACTCGATCTTGACGTTAGTGGCGACGAGCTTGCTGAAGTTCAAGTTACCGCTACGAGCGTCGGCCTTCCAAGCGGCAAATCGAGCACAAGCAAGCACAGCAATGACATTCCCAGCTTTGAGGTTCTTGAATAAGTCGTGGTCTTTGGAAAAAGTGGGGCCCTTCTGGTCTGTGTAGTTACTGGTGAGGGGAATGCTGTGGGAAACCCAGGTCTGAGTCTTTCCATCCACGACCTTGATCTGGTCAGTGACTTTTTCGCCCAAGGTCAAGTTCTTGGTTAGGATGGCAATTTCAAACCAGCTATAGAGTCCAGCTCCGGGATTATCCGCCCACCCTTGGTCATGGGCACTGGTAGAGAGGTTGACAGAAACGTAACTCGTGGCATCGCTAAAGTTGGAAACTGGTCCAGTTCCGAAGTAGAAATTCTTTACAATAGTCGCATCCGAGGCCGTGGTGGTAATGCGGATGGGTTCCGCCCCAATATCGCAGCGAATGAGCTCGAAGAGCTGTGAGGGTGGTGGTCACGGGATCGCACACCCTAGGCATGACACTTTGACGTCACGTGAAACCTCGAAGGCCAATTATTTGGCAAGGAAGAATTGGCCTTCGAGGTCGTAATCACTCAAGGCACTCCCTGCTAAATCCTAATCAAGAATGCCATCGGGGGACAGATCTCAGTGTCTGAGCGCTACTGAGTGCCCGGCGCTACTTACTGCCCAAGCACTTCCGAGTGCTCAACAGTACTCCGTGACAATCAGACTGTCAGCACGTAAATATGCCAGTGATTTCACCAGTTATAGCGTATTCTGTAAATATATGTCAGACTTGAAAAGAAAACAATGATATTCATTTTTACGACCTGACAGTGGAGCTGTACACTATAGAATTGAGCGTACAGCGCACTGGACTTCACTACATATCAGGTGTATGCTGGCTCGTCGGTGACGGTATCGGAAAACCCAATCCTGCCACTGGGCTCACCGTGCCACCCCACCCCAGATACCACCCCGCATACCGTGCCACCCCGCCCCAGGGCCCAGATGCATCGACTTCGTCACACCTATAGTCCCGTCACTGCTAAAGCTGGCGGTAAAGTGATGAGCGACCAGTTCCAGGTGTAAGCTATGTAGAGTGTCGAGCGCATTGTCGCCGTGCTGCCGGAAATTTTTGTAGGGCTCCTGCCACAATAACCGCGCCATGGCAGGGAGAGCCAGCGCATCGTCGCTGTACCGTTGGAAATCTTGTACGGGTCCTGCCACAATGATCGCGCCATGGCACATACGAAGCGTATTGACTAGTAATCCGCGGAAGCGAGAACTTTGACTGTCGTCCCTCCAGAGAAACTGGCATTCTGCGGAGCGTGAGCACAAAGAAAATGGGACAGCAATGACAAGAAGCTGCCGCTCACCTCCTCTTGCACTCCCTGGACCCGAGAGGGTGGGGGATGTGAACAAAAGCGGTATCATGGGTGCCACTGAGGACGCGAGTGGTCGTGCACATGCCAGCAGTCTGCTAAGTCACCACACAGAAACCTGTGCTGCTGAAGCTAGTGGTTGGTGGGGCTGCCATGCTTGACTGCCCACGTTGTTCTGCACTGACGTTTGACTGCACAACCCCTCGACTCTGCCGACCGGACACTGTGCATGAACGCATCGTCGTGATGCTCAACCGCCCCCTCCCTTGACTCGACCAGCTGGGTACTCTGGGAGATTTCAGGTCTGATGGAAAGTGATGCGCCGAAAGACCTGCTGGAAACGTTGAGGCAGTCGGATTGGCAGCAAACAGGGTGCATCGAGGGGAGAGGAAGGCGAAGAATGGGTCCGCGGCAGTTGTGGTTGTCGTGGACGCATCAGCAGCGGGAGCAGGTGCATTATGACCGGCGGTTCCAGGTGCTGGTGTTTGCGGAGCGTCACTGAAAGAAGTGGTGCTGCTTGCCGTAGCAGCGGCGGGGTCAGCAGCTAGTGGGCACAGTGGTGCCACTAGCAGAGGCGGAGGTGGCAGCGGCAGTGGGTGTTCCCAAAGGGCTGGAGCTGGAGTGCACTGCAGGGTCCAGGTTGCACTGATTATTGGCAGGGGCATTCTTGTCAAGAACGTAAGCAAACTGGCACCGAGGGGTGAAGACTCGAGAGGGCGAAAGAAAACAATGACAGGATCATAACAATGATCGAGAGAGGGGGACTCTGTTTGAGCTAAGAAAGGGCCCGCGTTTGCGAAGAGGGGTGGGGGAATAACTAAAGGAAGA